AGTCATAGACGACTTAGACTTAGAATAATTTAGACTTAGTTGGGTTCGATGGCGCAAAATCGGACAAAATGGACATTCTCTGCAGTGTTGCAGGCCAGTAGGGAAAGTACATCTTGCGATGGAGCCTGTCGGCGCAAGAGGCAGTCCTTCCAGAAGCAGCCTGCGGAGCCTCAAAGATCACTAGCACTGAAGTCTGAACGGCCACGCATATGGAACCGCAGCTTCGCAGCAGTTTTGATGCACAGAATGTCGTTTTGCGTTTTGCGCCGTGCTATCTGCAGTGTCTTTCCAAGACTGCAGGTCCCGCAGCAACAGCGGCTACTGGTCCGCTGACACCTGGGATCCAGACCTGCGCGTTTATACAGGGGCCGACATCTTCCACACACACCAGTTTGCGGTCGAGCCAGATCAGCGGAAGGCTGTTCAAAACGAGCCAGCTCAACCACGTCTCAGGACAGCCGAGGTTGTTTCGATGTCATAAAACGTGATAAAACTCTGAGTCACTCCAGTTCGCACAACCTTTCTCTTCCCTGTCTCCGAGGGAACGCCAAGATTCAGCTGGGTACTGGGGCGCGTTGGAGAGTGATGCGAGCAGAGAGGTGCACATTGGCAGCCTGCATGCAGAGAAAGAGACAGCTCGCCGAGCTGTGAGGGTCTCCTTTGACGAGGGTGCCGCGGAGAGCGTCCCTGGCAAGCCGGAGGGGTCTGACCAGAACGGCTTGGTAAGGAAGAGCAGCGATTACTGGAACTCGTCCAACTGGGACTTTGATCGCAACGTCCCGTTAAGGGCCCAGGAAATCACAACTCCCACCACCGAAGCTTCCAGCACCCTTTCTAGGAAAGGAAGCAATGCTTACTGGGATGCAGACCAGTGGGATCCGGATCAACGGGTATATGTGGGAGCCGAAGCAGGCCAGACCATGCACCGCACGGCCGTCATTGACGACCATGAGGACAAGCTGCTTCGTGCATGGGCTGGAGGCCTGACTTGTGAGGACTATGGGGGAAGCACGGCACCAACCCTTGACTTAGCCACTGGCACAGAGCCCCCAGCACTCAAAGACTTGTACGATGTCACGGCAGATTCGGTGGGATCTGGAAGTTTTGGAGTTGTTTTCCTTGCTCGGCATTGCAAGTCGGACAAGCCCTGCGTAGTCAAAAGCACGAAGAAGGCCCAGTGCGGCTCCTCCTTCAAATCACAGGTGGAAGGTGGACTTTACGAGTCTCTTCTGGATATGTCAAGAAGAGCCCCGCACGAGAACATCGTCCAGTACCTCGATGCCCTAGAAAGCAGTGACCATTACTACGTTATCATGGAGAACCTTCGGGGTCCAGAGCTTTTGGAGAAAATGGAGCGCGAGTTCCCCATCACCGAAAGACACTGTCAGGAGGTCATGAAGGAGGTATTGTCAGCGCTGGCGCACATCCACGACGTGGTAAAGATCTGTCATCGGGACATCAAGCAGCACGACCCCGACAGCCTGACAGCTTCTTTTGGGGCGCTTCGATGGTTGTTCGTTTGATGCACTGAAGCCGCAAATCATGTGCAACCAAGGCTTGACAACTTCCGATACCGAAGTCCTGAACCCGGTGCGCCATTGGTGCTGCTAGACTTTGGCTTCCTTGCTCGCTTGGATCAGCCCTGGGACGGCAAGAAATGCGGAACACGTGGCTCAGAAGCACGTCAGCTCACACTTCCTTAGAAGCAGTCTTCGAGACGATGTGTAATCTTGCACGTCGGGTGAAGGCATGTTCATGGCTCCGGAGATATTCCAAGAAAGCGTCCAACAGTCGCAGATGCCGGCGATGGACATGTGGGCAGCAGGAGTGCTGCTGCATCTTGTCTCAAGTGCTACGTCTGAAACTTTTGGTGAGACTGTGCTTGCTTTGCCAGAGCATAGGTACCTCCTCTTCACTGGCGACTGCCCCGTCCAGCAGGAGGACATGCCAAAGCTGCAACGAAATGACCCAGAGAGCCAAGACATCGTGCTCAAGGCCCGCGCGGCTTCCGGCCCCGCAGTTGTCCTTGTTGCAGCTGTTAGCCGTTAGCCGCTAGCGCCAGGCCCTGCAAGCTGACTTGTTGAAGTCGGTCTCTGCGGAGGAAAGCACGGGCACACGGGCACACGGGCACGCGCGGAAAACCCCTTGTGGCACAGAGTTTGTCTTCAGGCGAGACAACTTCTGGAGAAGCTGCTGGATTTGGAGGTGCGACTTGCTCCCCGTTGAGTTAGGAGGGGCGAGGTCTTCCTGCCAGGCATCGGAGCGCCTGCGTTCGGCCGACGCATTGAAGCACCAATGGCGGCCTGTCTGAAGGGGTGCCGTCTTGGCCTGAGCCCAGCATGTCAGCTCAGGCTGTGTGTGGATCTGGATGCTGGAGCTCGAGCTGTGCCAGCTCACAGGGAAGCTTACAGGCGCATGGCCAGCAAGAGCATGAAAGAGGATCGGCCCCGAGGCTTGTGAAGTGGCCCAAGAAAAGACACGACCCCAGGCGGACATCGATTCTTGACGGCCTGCCGTGCCGGAGTCTGCACGGCGTGTGCAGCTTAGATAACCCATTAGCGGCTCTTCCATTATGCCGCACAGTGGGCTAACAGACTCCAAGAGTCTCTGTTCGTAAACAGCCCCACGGACCGAGCACCAGACGTTTGCTCTTTGTCCTGCCTCGGCTCGGCAATCTCACCTTCCAGCCTGCAATGCTATCCTGATACATGTGCCTGCATACCACAAGCGGCTCAGGTAGCTTTCGCTTCTGGATTCCCGAGCTGATATTTTAAGCCATTTGAGTTTCAAGCTTTCGGCAGCATCGGCGTCAACAATTGGCTTCAGCTCCAGTCTCATAAGCAGCTCGAGCAACCGTGACTGCTGTGACCAACTGTAACTTTTGTTGGATGTGCAATTGTTGTCGCTGTCTTCGTGCTGCCTTGTAAATATGTAGTTTGTGACGAAGAGCACATGATCTGATAGCTTGCAGTGTAAAGGCCCGTTTAGCTCACGGCTACCCAGCAGTCATCCCCCCCTCAGACAGCAAAGCCTAGTCGTCAAGAAGAACCATGAACTCGTGACTTCTTCTGTGTCGACCAGCCTGAGCCGGGCCCGACTCTTTAATCTATCTAGGAAGCGGCTGCAGGCCAAGACTGCGAATTCAGCTTGGTCTGCAAGTCTGCTGAGTCTGTTCCGCCACGCTCCGCTGTGCTGGGATTGCTTCCTACGGAGAGCAAAGGGACAAGAGCTCGGCTGACTCCATACTTTCCTCTCCTGAGGCAGCTTCGTTCCTTATTCCGAGCTTCGTGAGGTATGGGAGTGGACTGGAGGGGTTCCTGGCCGCTTTCTTGAGGCAGGTGCTTTAAGTCTGTAAGTGCCAGGTTGGAAGGGGTGGGGAGGCAGGAGGAGTGTTTGCCGCTGTCGATGTACTTGTGCCGATGAGGCGAAGGCAGAGCCTGTCCATAGCCAGTTGCTTAACTTCGCGATCAACGTTGGATCAAGTGGCCCTTAAGAAATGTGGCGGGCCACTGGAGCCACAGAGCTCTGATGATCCTTTGCACGATCGCCGTGGACGCATCGAGCCTGTGAAAGCCTCAGGCGCCGTGGATCTCATGACTCGTTATATCTCTGGGTGTCTTTGCAGTAAATCTTTTGGGCTGAGGTAGGAGCTAGCAGCAGAGGAGATGGGCAAACGAGGCCACCGGAGTCTGATGATACTTTTGACAACGACACTGTGTCCTTGTCTGCAGACATCGACAGCGACGACGATGATGGAGGCGCGGATCGCCTAGCTCAGACACGAATAGCAACAGAATCCAAAACACGCAACCTCAAGGGTTGTTCCAAGACAAGAGCAGCATGCCTAGCACTTGTGCAAGGGTGCGCCGATTGGTGTGCGAATGAGCTTCTGTGACACTGCCATGTCAGACTCGGGGGGCTTTCGAAGGCAAGAAGAGAAAAGGTGGATTCTCGGATCGCCGGGGACTCAGCACGGAGGACTGCAGACAGAAACGATGCTTGTGAAGTCTAGTGGTCCTTCAACACCTCTCAGATGCACCACCCGACGATGGCCAGTCTGCTGAAATCCAGAACCGGCTCTTAGATTAGATATGTTGGAACGCTCGAGCAGTCTCAAGCCGTGGCAGTCGTCGGCGAAGTGGGCATCCCTTTCGCGAGGCTGGACCACATGCTCGCTGGTGGAGCAGGGCTTGGAGGGTCACAGCCCTGATACCTCTGCCGGACAAGTGTAGTGTAGCACGGGAAGTCCCTCGACCTTTGCAGGATCGGTTTGGGTGGAGTTGGCCTGGGCATGGGCAACATGGGCATGCCCAGCATGGCAATGCCCACACCCGGCCTGTCAGTTCCAGGCTTGGGCCTTTGTTTTTGTTGACGCTCTTGACTTGTCGGGCTTTCGAAGGTGCCAGTGCCGCGCCGGACCTTTGCCTGCAGGGTATGAAAAAGTCTTTGTCCTTGTCGTCTTGCAGCCGTGGGAGTGCTTCAAGCTGGCAGGATCTGGATCCATTGAAACCAGCCACTACTCCAATGGACTTCTCCAAGCTAGGGGCAAATATGCCCAGCGGTGCACTCAAGCGACAAGTCCAGCTTTGCATGCATTGGTTCTGTGTTGGTTGGACAGCTCTGTGCTGACGTTTTCTGAACTAGACGAGCCTCAGGTCAAGAGTTCCCTGTGCCGCGAGACATGGTGGCTGCTCGTCCCGATAGAAACCAGGGCTTGCGGCACACCATGGCTGTCTTGAGAGATTGCACGGACAGGAGTACCTCATGACGCCTGAACACCGGCAGATTCTCCTTGAGGAGCACTCAGGCCAACCACAGCCATAGCATCGCCTTGAATGCGCAGGAATCAGGCTGTGATGTCGACTGGGCGCCAGATGAGTCCAAGGCCTGGCATGCTGGACACAAGTCCAGCGTTCAATGTTCAGCGGATCCCGTAAGGTTTATCCTGGTCTGCTGTTGCATGAGTGTGTATATGATGGATATGTGTTGTTCGATTTACGGAAAAGTCATGATACAGCTACAGTCAACATCTGCGTAATGAGGTGCAGTTGGCACTCCAGATGCATTCAACGAAGCATTGTGGCAACCATTGCCCGGGGATGGTGGTAGCAAAGTGCATGCCTGCCGAGTGGCGCATGAGCCCATGTCGCCAAATGCGCCGGCAAGCCATGTGAACCTACATGCTGCTGTACTGCCACGGGCTGTGCCTTTGGTGAGCATGAGAACGGGAGAAAACACAGGTCTTCCAAACTTCTCAGAAATGCTGTGAGCTGCCACCGAGGCTCTGGCTGCTTTGTACATCAGCTCAGCACCAGACCCCTGACGAGCTGACACGCGACGTGGAACGGGCGAGAGATGAAGCCGCCCGAGAGCACTGAGCACGTTTGTGTAAGCAGGGGCAAGCAGAAGGTGTCAGCATTCCTGGGTGGGTGCACACCTCGGACAGCGAGGTATGCGAATGGTGGCAGCAGTACCAGCGCCTTTTCCGAAAGCATTGGCAGACAGCCAATCGTGCTGAACGGCGAGCACATCTCTTTGAGACTGTGCCACTGCTTCCCAAGGCCTTTAAAATCTGCATCCGACATGCTTCTGATAGTTTGGACTTTAATTGACTTCACCTTTCCTGCTCTGCACGAGGCCAGATCTCATCCGTGGCTTGGCATCACGATTCTGCTGCTGTCGCAAGTCTGTCTGACTGCTCTCCTTCTCAGGCGCACTCTTACGGGTGAAGATGCGGAGGGATTCTCTGACCTATGTCCCGAACTTAACTTGGAGGACCTTTCCGCAGATCCGCATGCGACTTGGTCCGCAAACAAGGTGTCATGAGGTGCTGTGCTCATTCTCAGCATCTGCCTTTTGCTGTAGTTTCTTCCGTGCGCCTGTGTGTATGTCCGGGAGTGGGTGCGTGTGCACGGGAGCGTGCATCTCAGAATCTCTGTCTGTGTGTGTGCGCACCACACCCGAACCTTCCAGTGACAAGGGATTACGTACACCTTATCATGCAGAGGCTCATCGGGGAGCTTGCGATGCCCAACGACGACACAACTAGATAACTGCTCATCGTGGAAGTGTGCCTGCAAAAACGGGCACGGCCTGGGTGTCAGCCGCACGGGACTAGACGGCACTGTACCGGGAATGCACATCACATGCAAACGCCCAGCATGTTGAACACTGAGCTTTCCACCGACATCAAGTGCACACCGACGGAGCTCCATTTCTCATTGGCCAGCCGGCCAGAAAAGGTGCTCTTGGATGTTCTGGACATGTGGCGAGCTCAGCTCCGCCAGCAAAGACAGTCATGGCAAGATGTGCGAAGAGTTAGCCAGCAACATCTTTTAGCCTCGAGAAACGACGGTGCCGTGTGCGACGGGAAATCCGACGGCTGGCAGCCTCGCAGCAATGACATGTTTGAATATCCCGCAGCTGAGACGGTGCCACGCGGACATGGCTGTGCAGAGAAGAGCTCAAGACGACGACCTTGCGCCTTTTGCCAGAGATGTATGCAGCTTCGAACATAAATTCTAGAGAAAGAACAGGGCTGCTGATCACCAGGTTGTCGCGGGCACTGGCCGGCCGGAAGTCACGGCACAGATCTGGCCTTGTTCGGAAGCTCTTTTATTTGAGAGACACTGGAAGCAGCTGGTGTGAGAAGAGAGTAGTGCAAGCGAAGGTGATGGGCACCGTGTGTCCGAAAGTGCTTCCAGCCCTTTTTGCAGCTGCCTGAGGACCCGGTGACCACGACTGTCACGGGGCCTCTTCAAGGTCAGGGAGAGGAGGACTCGGCGTGGAAGTCACGAGCATCCGACCTGGTCATGGAGTCGGAGATCTGGTGGACTGTCCTCTTTCGCCAACATTCGATCTACACCATGTTGTCGAATGTGTTGAAGGACTGAGTTCTAGTGTGATTCTTACGTGGATCTCTCTTCGTGCTGTGCAGCCAGGCACCCAAGCTGCCTCGATCTCTCGGCAGGAGCACTTCGAAGTTCAGGGACTTCAAGGGTATCTGGAGCCGCAGTCAGAGATGGGCCAGCAGATGGGAGACACAGACGATCTGAACGACAGCCGCCTCGAGTAAAAACATGAACCTTTTACCAATTTCGCGATAGCGACACCAGCTTCTCCAGAATTTGTTGATCCTATCCAGTCGAAGTTGGCTCAGCCAGGCTATGACTGGCTAGAGGATGCAGCGATCTGGTGCAGTGCGGTGGTGCTGCTTTGCCTGTTGGCTTGGCTTGTCTTTACCTGGTATCGTGGAGATGCTGCACTTGGACCTCCACGTGACTTGTGCTGTCCGATGTCGCTAGAATTGTTCACAGATCCTGTGGTGGCTGCGGACGGTGAGACTTACGAGCGCCTTGGCACGATTGCTCGAGCAGCTGCTGCAGGAAAGTGGGATTGACCTCACTTGCTCATTTGCCTTAGCTTTTCACATGCTTCCCATCTCGAGGCGGGGGTGGATCGAAAAATGGATCCTCGAGAAGTCACCGGAAGTCAGACCTCGTCAAGGCACAGGTGTGATCTCCCCAATGGGTCATGGCATTCTCAGCCATACGAAATTGGTGAGCAACCAGACAGTGCGCCGATTGGCCAACCAGTGGCGGGAAAAGAACGTGAAGATGGACTGACTGGTGTCCTTCAGTGGAGGGCTCCACGGCTCGATCATCCCAGAGCTGCTGGTTCACCGTGCATCTCATGATCTCATCAGCCACCTGTGCATGAGATCCCTTGAGACTGTCCAAGGCGTTCGTACGTGAACACAGCCCCCGGTGCGTCACCTGCGTTCGACACACACACACACACACACACGCACGCACGCTCGCACGCACACACACACACA